ACTAAATATAAAATATGTGTATATTATATAGTGTGTATATTATATGATATGTATATTATTAATATTTTCATATTGATCTGCATATAATATTATACATATTATGTATGGTACATATTATAGAGAGAGAGCCCACCAAAAAATGTATCAATCAAGAAAAGAAAAACATATAAATATTTTAATACTAAATGTATTGAGTCTGGACAAGGTAGCCTAGTGGTTAAGGTGATGGACTGCTAAATTTATTGAAACTAAATTTATTCATACAAGTTACCTTTGGCATCTACAATTATAAGAGGTGCTCAAAGTGGTAGCTATTAGCTTCCAGACATTTATTAGTGCAGTGAATTGCTGAAGTGTGTGTACATTTCTTTAGGCAGGGTCTCTTTCTCTTTCTCTTTCTCTTTCTTTTCTCTCTCTCCCTTCCTCTTCCTCTTCCCCTCTTCCTCTCTCCCATATATATGTATGTATGTATATATATATCAATTTCATATATATGAATATATATATAATGAGGTCTTATAGTTTGCATTGTTTCATGTCTGGCTTCTTTCACTAAAGATATTTTTGAGATTCAGCTATGTTTTAGCATGTACTAATAATTTTTTTTCTGAATACTATTCTATTCTTTGGAAACATAGTCACACATTGCTTAATAACAAGGACACATTCTGAGAAATGTGCCTTCAGCTGATTTCATCATTGGGTAAACATTATTGTATATACTTGCACAAACCTACATGGGTTTGGTTGCTTAATGTGATGGTAGCCACCTCCTCCTCCTCCTCCTCCTTCTCCTCCTCTCCTCCTCCATTTGACCTTGAATTCAGGTGTCAACTAAACTTGTCTGTGGCATTTCTTTAGGCATCCAAAAGGTGCTGTCAAACAAACCACTTGGAACCTAGGGACAAGTCTGGGATAGAAATTCAAGAAGGATATTCTGGGAACACAGATAAGAAGGTTATTGAAGGCAATGATCTAAAGAAAACCAGAGGGATCTCATTACTGAACTTCAGTGGAAGTTTCTTAAAAGTTTGTAACATATGTCAAGCTGCTCTAGTACAAGAACAAGAATAAAATTTTAAATTTAAAGTGCTCCTTCAGGCAGGTAAGGTGGTAGATACTTGCAATCCCAGCACTCAGGAGGCTGAGGCAAGAGGATCAAGTCTGAAGCGATTCTGGGCCACATAGTAAGTTCAAGGCCAGCCTGAACTACACAGCAAAAACAAAATTGTCTCAAAAACAAAAATAATAATTAAAAAATGAAAATAAGGTCCCACTTCACAAGGCTGCTTTGAAGTGATATTTGATTATGTAATATAAAAAGTGAACCATTTCAAACTCATTCTTAAATTAGAATTTCCAATGTGATATATTAACTATAACAATTAGGTGTATTAATGATTACTCTCCATAGTAGTACAGACATATAGTTACATAATATATATGCAGCATCATAATATGAGCTATTTAGAGAAAGTGTTTCTAAAAAGAGAATGCTAAAATATCAGATTTCTGAGGAACCTAAATTTATGTCCTCCAGATATATAGAAAAATATTGTTTGACTATTTCCATGTCTTAAAAGCTTAAAACTTGGATGTCCTCTTTTGTTATTAAGGTGTATCTATCAAGAAACAGACAATGAAAACATAGCCTAATGAAATCTCACATTCTACACCTTAATTTAGGTACGTTAATTTTCCTTAAACATATGTAAATAATGGATTATGTCCCATCTAGGCCTCAGAGAATTAAAGTCTCAATCCTAGGAATTCTAAAACTAGTAAAATATCTCCCTCTAAAACTAGTGAAATATCTCCCTCAATCTTATCTTTTGTTTTTGTTTTTTTTTCCTTTTCTTTTCTGGTACCAGGGATTGAACTCCGGTCCCTGCATTTGAGAGGCAGGCGCCAGAATCACTAAGCTAAATCCCTGTCCCCAATTTTTTTTTTTGGTACTGGGGATCAAACACGGGTCCTTGTGCTGGTGAGGCAGGCAGCAGAATCAATCTTATCTTAATAAAAGTTATAAAAGGAGGAGTTGGCTTAAGGACTTAATAAAGAGATAAGAAGAAAATATGTATAAATTCTAGAAAAGTGTAAACAAGAGCCATGCATTGAATATGCAGACTGTATTCAAGGAATAAAGCTGATCAGCTATAAAACAAGTTGAAGAGAGCCTGGCATGGAAAGAGTAGTAATTGAAAAAAGTTTGATACTCTGCCTTATTGAGTACATAACATCATTTCAGCGATCAGGAAAACAGATCATCATGCGAACTATTAGGACACATCTGGAATACTGAACCCAAATCTATATTTCTGGAAAGCCACCTTTAAGTATGCAGCCCACATCTGTTCTCAAAAATACAGTCTTTTACTTTGTTATTACAGTACTAACAGTGTGTGCTAACAAAGTGAAGAGGGAAAAAAAAGCTTAGAGAGAAAACACAGGAATAATTTGAAAGATGTCAGATTTTAATAATGTGAAGCAATGTAAAGAACAAAATATACCAGTTGAGAGAAACTTCATTCACTACGAACTCCAAAGGTTGTGAATGCAGGAAGAAGGAAAACACATGGTATCTGGAAAACATCAGAACTTAGTAGGCAAAGAAGAACAGAGTCAGAAGAAAAACATTCCTTTAAAATTTCTACTGTGTTACACTTCTTTTTGGGTAGGAGGAAAACCATCTGAATGGAGAAATCACCTGGTAACTGGTTATTCCTTTAGATATTTTAATTTTTTCATAAAAGCTAACAGTCTAGGAGAGGGGGAAATGACTGTAAGAAGATACTGATTAGAATTAGAGAGAACATGTAATGGGGTACAGCTCAGGCTTCAGTGTCTGTGGGAAAAATGGCAGGGACGGGTATAACATGTCCCAAATTATTATTTGTCGATAAAAATGTATCCTAGATGTGTAAGACCTGTGTGTCATTTGATGTACTCTTTGTCAGTCAAGCTTTTTGAAAATGATTTCTGGATGTTGATTGGTGACCACTTCACTCAAAAGATAGCCACCATTGTATTCTGTATTTTTACACAGATTTTAGTACAGCTGGTCTGTGCAAACTTTGTATAAGAAGGCTCTGAAGGAAGAAAGCCCCATCTCCAACTCTAGAATTCCCGTGTTTCAGGCAAGTATTTGTTATTGCTTTCCTATTACGGTGAATCCATTCATGACTGTAGGGTGCTGAGTGCATTATACAGAATGCATTGAAGATACAGTGAATGTTTTCTGGGAGCTTTTATGCTCAGTTACTTTCTAAGGTGTTATTTAATACCACATGATGCTATACAGTGATGTGAGGTATACAAAGCAGAGTGGAGAATGCCCTTTTCTATATTCTTTCCTGAGCTTTGAATATGCCAGCTTGCTGTGATTATTACATTTTGTTCACTTTCCTTGTACGAACAATAGACTTCCAACAGTGTAAATTTATGTATGATTTGATCTTTGTTTTATGCAGTGAATAGAACACTGGATTATCATTCAAGGGACCCTATGCCATTCTCTACATTTGTCTCTCTGGACACTATTTTAAACTGCTTAGGGCAGAGAGAGGAGGCTGGATAACTGAAAGTGTATTCGAAATAGAGGCAACTGTGGTAATAAACAACTTGATCCCACTGATTTCATTTCACATTAACAAGTATTTTAATTTAATCTGCTTATTTCCCTATGAAATCAAATGAAATGTTTCTTTCCCCCATCTAATTCTCACTTTGATTCATGTTAACAATTTTTCTCCATAAATATAGAAATTCCAAATTTAACAAATGAATTACACATTGTACCACTTAAGAAGTGTGAAAGGTAGCCATTCATTGGGGTTTCATTCCCATTCATCTACGTTCTTATGCCCAGCTTTCTTTTTTGCTGTTTCCTGCCACTTTTACTTTGATTAGATCCAAGCCTCTGGATTACATCCATTCTTACTTCTGTACTTTTGTTCACATAATTCCCTTTTAATCAGTTTTGAAAAAAATTAAATGATTTTGTTATGGTATATTTTAAGTATTACAGAAAAAGGCAGAAAATGAAATATGTAGCAAATGTAGTTACACATCTACTACCCAGCATTGGCACATTAGCCTTTGGTCACACATGATCTCTCCTTCTTTGGTTTTGTTTTAGGAAAAAGTTCGGCTCGATGAATGTAACTGTACTGTTATACTTAAAAGTACCAATAAACTCAATGGGAAAAAGAAAAAGTTCTGTTGATCTCTCCTTCTTTGGTTTTGTTTTAGGAAAAAGTTCGGCTCGATGAATGTAACTGTACTGTTATACTTAAAAGTACCAATAAACTCAATGGGAAAAAGAAAAAGTTCTCCTTAGAAAAATCTTCTCATTCCTTTCAGCCTAACCATTTGTTTCTGTTACTCAACGAACATTTCTCTATTGAGCATAGAGTATATCCATGGGCCATGCTAGGATGTGGAGAGGTTGGGAGAATTAACCAAGTAGCTTATCCTTTAAGCCCTGCAAGGGCTGGGGATGTAGCTCAGTGGTAGAGGGCTTGCCCAGTGTTTGAGGCTCTGGGTTTAATCCCCTGCACAGGGTTAGGTATGTGTGAATTGGGGGGGGTACCATACAATGATCTTTCTCTGTTTATATCCTGCCTTCCCCTTTCAACCCTTCCTGAGAATAGTCTGAAAGACTGGCCTCTGTTCTCCAGACACCTCAGGTGACTATCTGTGTGCTCAGGCTGGCTGTACTGACTTGTGAGGGAAAGCTATGGTTCTTCTCAACTCTGCATTTAGTGATGGTCACAGTGCAAGTGTTTATACCACAGAAAACTGGTGAAATCTACAACTCAGGGTTAGTTTATTTTTGTTTCGGGGGGGGAACTGATTTACCAGCACATAAACACACTGATTCCTAAACATACTCTCAAGCATACTTAGAGTGCTTCGGTAAACAAAATTGAAATTAAAATGCTGTAATCTCCTTTAGAGATAGAATCGTGTTTTACATGACTTTCTTTGACTCCAAAGTGAAGCGCGTTTGGTAGGTATTTCATAAATGTGTTCTGTTCCTTCTAAAAGAGTCTGTTCATTTCTCCTCTTTCCATAGTAATTCATTGCCTTGTGTTTTTGTTATTCTCAATTTTTAAATGCTGTTGTTTGAAAAGACTCTGATAGTGCATCGCTCCCCTTTTCTATGAGGTGATTTCATAAACATCAAAATATCAAGTTCTTGTAGCCCAGAGGGTTTCATCCGAGTAAACAACAGTCTCACAGTCTCCCGTCGTCACCAGGCACCGCTGAGCTCTGTGCCACAGTCCCTGCTCAGTCTGTTCTCAGCTGTGTTCTCTGAGTACGTCCTGCATAGCTCAACAGGTTCCCACTGGAGATCTGTACTGATGCTGTTTGGCTCCCGAAAATCTTGAGACAAGGAGGGGTGGGGATGAGGTATGTGCTTCCAGACCAGTGAAGGGTCCCTGGCTGAGACCAGAGATCTGTCAGAGTGAGGTGGAGTCATATGCAATCAGTAACAATCATATACAAGTTTCTCAGAGTTCCGGCCTTTTTTTCCTTCCATTTTCAGCAATTCTCATATGGCAGACCACGATCAGTCCTCTTTTCAATTCTTATGCAAAGACAAAGATTCTCATAGATCTGGGTTTATCTGTAAAAAGGCTATAATCTGTCCTGCTTTGAGGGTCTTTAAAGAGACCAAAAATAACTAATTCTGTTTCCTCTCCTCTTTGGCTCCTTTCTTCATTAAACCACTGTAGTGTTCAATTACCTTGTCTATTTTTATATTTTTAATGTGCTTAGTCCCCTTTATTTTAGGAAAAAATTTACTCTAAAGGGTAAACAATGATTATATCTTTATTTAGAATTTTTGAAAGCTACTCACTGACTTTCTTTTTGTCAATTTGGGAGTAAGGTGGGAAGGAGTACAGAGTACTTTATGCTTTCTGTATGGCTGTTTACTTCAATTCATGTTACTTTAGTAAATGAGACAGCATCCACTTCCTGTTCTCAGCTTGCCAGAATTCCCAACATTCAGATCATTTGGCTAACTTTCAGTCTGAAGCTGTTCCCTCAAATTCATTCTTCTGCTGTCTGCCCTTGTGGTAGCTTTTAATAACCTCTGAATCCTAGGGGAGGAAGTAAAGGCAATAAACTTGTTTTCCCATTTTGTTTGTAAAATGTTTGCAAAATTCTCACTATGAAAAGAAAATGCTTGACAGAGGTGACTTCTTTCTCATTATGTTAATGACAAGTGAGGAAAATGTGCCCCTCAGGCCTTCCCACCTATGGCTCCTGCCCAACCATATTCACATCTGTAGGGTACCCATCAAGTGGTCAAGCCAGCCTCTGTGAGCACAGTGCATAGCTGGCGGTGCTGGAATCCAGTTCCATGCTGGTTTCCTGACACTTCATAAATCACAATCCTTCTTTTCAGGGCTAAAATTTTTCTTCACTCACAGAGTAACCGAATCTTATCACCATCCCCAGATCCATCAAACTTTCTTGGCTTGGCTGAAACAGAGAAAGCAGAAAATATCCATTTTTGCAGCCGGGCATGGTGGTGCATGCCTGTAATCCCAGCACTCGGGAGGCCGAGGCAGGAGGATCACTGTGAATTCAAGACCAGCCTGGGCTACATAGTGAGTTCCAGGTCAGTCTCAACTACATAGTAAGACCCTTTCTCAAAAAAAAAAAAAATTATATATATATTTGGGGAAACAACCAGAAATCAGGAACAGCAAAGGGTCCCTGGTAGGGACTCAAAAGTGAAAATGAAAATGAAACATGAAAATGAAGTAAAATTCAACAGTGAGATTTCAAACACTTAAAATTCCCTACAAGATCTATTAAAGGGAAATGGAGTGAATTTCAAGGGTGAAATTTCAAAAATTTTAAAGTTTCTTAAAATAAAGGAGACTAAGAACATTTGGGAGGCGCGGTACGGGGGATCAAACTCAGGTCTTTGAGCTTGCAAGGCAGGCAGTGAGTGGTACCACTGAGCTAAACCCCCGGCTCTTAAGAACATTTTTTTTATAATTTGAAAACAGACTAGGCAATTAAATGCTAAAGGGTAATGAAGAGAGAAGCGAAATAGAAAAAACCCCAAAGCTCTCTATTGTTTGAGTTCAGACCTGGACAGTAGATAAAGGACACTAGAAGCCATGTTAACAGTTCTGAAAATGAGGAATGCTGCTGAGAGAAAACTCCCAATAAAGAAGACTTAAAAGACAAACCAACCCCATCAACACCACCAGGGCAAAATTCATTTCAATATTCAGTTCAATAAATGTTTATTGCATGCCTCTTTCATGCCACATCCTGTGCTATCAACCTTAATTTTCCATGTTTTATTATCTGTGACAAAAGAAGATGAGAACGCTGACATATTTGGAAGTAGGTCAATTTTACAATGGCTATTATAATAGTGTTAGTATCTTGAGAGAAATGATTAATTTTGGATATCCAATTTGAGTTACTTTGTACATACTAACTGGTACTACCTAAGATATTGGTATATGACTCCTAAAAATCTTTAAATTTTGCAAAAGAGAAATAATCGGTGTAATATAATAACTTTGATATGACATGCTATTGTTTTCAACAAAAATTTTGGTATTACACACAATACAGTTACTTGATAGTGCTAACTTCCCATTTCTTCTGGGTTATATGTTTACTTAAATGTGTCTACTCCAGAAGCATTTACCCAATTATAAATTGTGGATAATTCCACATTCAGGTGCTGTGGTAACTGTGTTAACACTTCCATCTTGTCTTGTTAACCCCAGTAAAGGTACCAACTACCCAGAACGTATAACAAAAATATTGATGGGCATGAAGTTAGGCAGAAACTCATAAATCTTGAGCTCTTACCCTTGCCCAAACCTTGCCACCCTATTTTGATTCTCAGAAATCCTGAAATTAGATGATAGTCATTGTGTTGCATTGTAATTGTAGTTTTGCTAGAATTTGCCTATATCAACCTCTGCTCGTGGAAGATTCTATCAAAGGAGCAAGTAAGTCTGTGCTTGGAGGAGAGTTTCCATAGACTTCAGTTGGCATCACTAGGCACATGTCATCCCAGAGGGCAAACTTTTAGGAGCAGCAGTGCACACAAACTGCTGAAGATAGATTGCTCATGTTAAATGAAGAA